CTTACAAAGATGGGTTCTGCCTGTAACATATTGCCAATATGTACCATATTGCCAAAACCATGTTTTATGGCTTGCTGCATTTTGATGGAATTGTCAAAACACACCTTCAGAGTCCCAAGAACTATTTCAATGGAAATAGTTACATGATCTCCCCCATTCACCCCTTTTCCTGAAACCTGTTTTCTACTTGATACTGAACTCAGCATCCTTATATGATTTCAGATTTCTCTTGCTTATGTTTTTTTTATTTCATTGACCTATTCACTTTTGCAAAACAGCTGAAGATAGACTATAATCCAGTATTGCTACCCTAGTGTCTCCAACCAGGGAACATTCTGGGAAGAAGTACTTGCAGGAGTACCTTAAGTGATTATCTCTTCATTTTTACTAAGGGCTGGCATTACTTTCTACCTGACTTTAAGCAAAGGAAGTATTTGATGTGGAATCTAAAGTAAACTGTAGAAGGATACGGAATATGCTCTCAGTAATTTTGACTCCAACTCTCTTATCCTAGTTCAGTAATTTTTTTTGCAGTGCTTGCTTCCCATTTGCATAGAGTTGTTGTAGTTGGATTTATTCTGGATATTTGTTGTGTTTTTATGGCTGGCTTGCTGTAGAAGTAAAAAGAAGACTACATCTTTTCATATGTCTTATGCTGTAATTAACAAAATACTACTTTTCTGTCTGCATTGAATTATTATTATATTAATTATTATATTAATTATTCCATCACTTTTCTGCTCTGTTGATAATATTGTTTATTTTTTTTACTCAGCTGAATATATTATTAAGAAGGAAATAAAACTGAAGAAGTCAGACTATAGTTAATCCTACTTAGCGCTGCAACGTCATACCTCAAAAGTGCAACTCATGATCGGCTTGGTTCTTGCTTCCTGGGTACATGCACAGTTAGCAGTCTTATGTTAGTATCATCTGGCAGGTCAAATAAAGATGTGATTAAAAGCTTACTTTTGATTATGAAGAAGAAAAACAACCTTTTTGTTTGGAAAATATATATGCAAATAAATGTTCTCAGGCACATGGTGTGATTCTTCGGGTACAGGGATAAGAGTTTGAGTCAGTGATCCTTGTGCATCCCTTCCAACTCAGAATGTTCTGTGATTCTGTGATATTTTATAAGCAGATGTAAAACATGGGAAATTTCTGAAATATAACTGCATATTGGACAGTAACATGCTAAAGTGAAGAACAGAGGGAAAGGGGATTCTAATTGTTCATAGCTTTCTTCCTTGATAAAAAAAAAAGGATTCTGATAGGGATAAAAAAATTAGTTTTGGAATATTTAGATCTACCTGAAAGACACCATGAGATGAGAGAAGGCAGAAGTTGATTGCTTCTAGAGAGAGCTTAAATTGGCAGATGCTTTTCTATAGTTGTGTAGGCATGACTACTCAAGAAAAATGTAAGTTTAGTAATAAGCAACAAACAAAATTATTTGACTCTTTTAGTACAGCCAGAAATCACTGTTTTTAGTTGAAATTGTACATGAAAAATGAGAATAGAGGATACCTAAAGGATCAGCTACAAAAAACCCCCTCTAAAACTCACAAAGCTCACAAAACTCACCAAAAAAAAAAAAAAAAAAAAAAAAAAAAAAAAAAAAAAAAAAAAAAAAAGAAATAGAGGCCTAGAAGCAAGTGCAATTTATATAGAGAGTCAGAGTCATACAAATCACTTGGCTGCATACTTTACTTTTACTAAAATCTCATCTGAGTAATAATTTCTCAGTAAATTCAGTGCCATTGTTCACCACTTAATGCTGAGTTGGAAGAACCCAGTTGTATCTTAGTAAATAGTTAAGGGAAAATGCTTTCAAGTTGGAAATAGCAGTATTTGGAGATTACAGTCAGAGAGTGGCAATTGTTAAAAGAATATAGCAGTGAGCAGTTTCTCTACCTAGAAAACAGCTGCGTTTTTTTCTTGGTGACAGCTGCTTTCAGTCCAGGCTGTGCAACCAGCAAGCCAACCCTCTCCACAAACTTAGTGGGTTTTTTATGTGGTGTTTCTTGTTTAAATTGCATGTTTCTAGATAATTTTTAACAAATTTCTAAAACTATTTTTAGCTTTAGATCCGGCTAAAGATCCATGTTTGAAGATGAAATGTAGTCGCCATAAAGTCTGTGTTGCACAGGATCAACAAACTGCTGTTTGCATTAGTCACCGAAGGCTTACTCACAGGTAAATACTTCAAAAGTTAATCCTGTAGACATTTTTTATAGTGTTCATGACTGACTTTTAAACCATAAATCCATTATAATTAGTTTAGTTAGTTAACAACATATAAGAATAGTAGAGGTGGATTTTAGCAGTAATTATGTATGCATAGTTTGATTATAATGTTTAATATTTGATTTTTTCGATAGGCTGGTAAAATAGAAGGTGTACATATTTAAATATGGCAAGCTTCTGGTACAAATAGATTTAGGGAAATACCCACTGTGCCAGTAGCAAATCAATAAAATGATTATGATAATGTCCTGCTGCTGTACATTACTTTGACAGCATCCCTTCTTATATGAAACTAGAGAACTCAAAACTGCCTCTTAAAGTGTGGGTAACAGCCTAATACAGTGTAAGTTGTTTGAGGTTGGATTTTTTTCCCCCTTTTTTCTCCTCTTCTGTGCATTCCAGTTTTATTATCATGCTGGCCTGGTTAAATATAAGGAAAAAATACATGATAAAGTGATGTACTTTTGTAGCATTATCTGGAGCAGAAATATGAATATGTAGGGCCTGAACCGTACATTTGGTTGTGTCATGGTTTTTGTGTGCTGAGGAGATGGAGTCAAGTTGCACTGTGGCTTGAGATTGTTAGATTTTTTTGCACTTCATTGTGGGAAATGAGACATAGTAGAATGGCTAAATTTCTATAACTTGGTTTAGCTAGGTGTCTGCTTCAGTGCTTTGCTCAGTAGGGACTGAAAAGAGCTAAGGCAAATAAAAGACTTCCTTGTCTGTTGGAAGAGGATTATTTCAACTACAGTTTCATGAATGATAGAAGAAATGTTGTTCTGAGCGGCTAGTTATGTTAAATACATCCATCTGGAGCTTTTGAAACAAGCAAGATAGTACATAGTGAAAGGAAAGGTTTAAACTGTTCTTGATCTGCAGCTGAAGTTAATAGCAAAAAAACTTGACAGTATTTGCAGAGTTACATTATTATATTAAACAATCTCAGTGTAGAACTAGGCATTTTAATTTGATAAAGTACTATATAAGGTGCAAGAACTATCAGACAAAGCTAGGTAGTGTAATTTCAACTGCATGCAAAGTGTCAGGAATATGTCAGCGCTAACTGTCCAAGAAAACACAGTAATTTGAAATTTCTAAGAGGTGTTGCACATGTCATCAGAAATAGTGAAAAAAAAATTGACATCTCCAAGTTAATTATACATGCAGTAGATGAGGACTGAAAACATTTTTAGTTTAGAGGACGATATGTACTGTGGTTGAATGAAGAAACTTGTTGACATCAGTCTTCATCCCTGTATTATTCCTCCTTCAGTTCTTGGTAATCTTTTAGAAAGGTTATATTTTAAGAGGTAAAATTTGTCTGAATATAATACAATCAATAATGTGAAACTTTGGAAGGGCACCGATTTGGTGATTGGAAAAAGCACAGTAAGTCTAATCTTGTAAGCTGTATGATGACGAGACAGGGATTTCCCAAGCTTAGATCTCCCTGTTCCTCCAGATTACTGCATACTACAAGGAGAAATAATTTGCTTTGTTCTTTCGAAAAAGGTTTTCTTCATGCAGTCTCTGACCTTTCTGAACATGGTGGGATAAGAGTATGAATAGCATATACATGAGCAGTCATGTCTGCTGGGTCTCTTTACCACTAATAATTTCTTTGGCCCAACAAGTTATTCCTTCACTGATACCTATAATTTGTATATTGATTTTCAGCATCTGTTTTTCAGAGTTCCCAAAGGAACTCTTCATAAGTCTTGGTAAAAATTCAGTGAGAAAGTTTATATTATCAACTGTCCAGTTATATTATCTGCCTTTATCTATTACTGATATATCAGTTGTGTGTAATCTGTTGGGAATAAGTATTTGCAAAATATAATCCCAGTAATTTTCCTTTTTCCTTAGTTTATATGTGTACACATGCAGTGTTCTTCAAAGACTGGATAACATAAACAAGTAAGAAAAGGCAGTTTTTTCTGGAAAAACAGTTGAGACCTTTTTGATAGATTACTGGGAACTCTTCATAAAGCACTCGCCCATAGATTTCAATTTGGATGTATACAGATTCATAAATGCTCCAGAGATTATTCGCAAGACTCTTGCACAGGAAAAGTAGTTTTAAGCATGTGAATTGATACAGTGGCAAAGATGATCCTCAAGAGACAGTCAGGGAAGAGGAGACTTTGCATACCTCCAAGATAAATAAAAAGTTTATGGGCATCTTTGAGCTACCCTAGAGAAAGAAGCATGAAATACAGTTATAGCTGAATAGATTTTGCTGTGCTGTCATCAAGTTGAAATGCTCAGATTTATAGTTAAATTTTCTATTATTAGTAGCAACATTCCCAAGCAACCCTATTACCTAGTTCATAAACTTCTGTATTTAAATTCTGTTACCTTTTTTAGGTAATTGCATGAACAGAGAGGTTGCTAATCAGTGAACTCTGATAATTTTATCAAATGGAGGAATCGATTTAGTAATTTCTTTTGTTGTTTTCAGGAAATCGACTTGCAGAAAAAAAAGAGGTAGGCATAGACATCATTATTCAGTCCATACTCCCAGGTGTTCTTATCTGTACAGCACAATCTCCAGACTATTGTAGCCCTATATGGATTACTGAGGGCACCTCAGTTCCACACAGTGAAACATGGGTAGATACCCCAACCATCTGCAAGGCTGTTAGTGACATGATATGATAAGGTCCCAATAGGATTAATTAATGTGAACAACACACTTTAGTGATGATTTTACTTGTGCTTTCAGAACTATTAACCTTTCGGTTAGCTTGGGGATTTCAGCCCTGTGATCTTGCTGCAGTGTGCTTGCCTTCGAGTGGTTTCAAAACCAGCTACTGCATCTCGCTGCACTTTTCATGGAGTTATGTGTCAGACAAGCCTATGGTTTTGCTATTTCCTCAGTTTCCATGACAGCTGAGATCATGGTCTTCCCTCAGTTTAATCTCAAGGCTCATTTCCTTTTCTGGTAGACTGCCAAGATGGCAAGTTCTCTTCTAGCACGCTTCTGTGGTGCCACAGCATTCCCAGACAAGAGCTTCCTTTATGTTCTGTCCTGGAAAGACTGAATAGTATTTGACAAAAAGGTGAAATAAGTGTTGTAGATCATTGGTCATGAGAGTAGTTTGCAGTACCAGAGCTTTAGAAATGATGAGAGGCACACTTAAAGGTGCAAGATTTTTGTTAGCAGCAGGTAGCATCTCTGGTGGCTCTAACCATGGTGGAAGCTGTTTTCTGTGTGCTACACTCTTAGCACTCTTCTTTCATCCTACGAAAGAAAGAGGAAGTACTTGAGGAGGGGAAAACATGCAGGATGTATATGTAAATGTTATTTATCCAAGTAGTTCCATGTGGATTGCTGTGGGAAGGGAGTAGCTGCCTGCACTAGACTGTATCATAAACGGGTAATTCAAAGTATAGTGTAAAATAGAATTTTTAATTCATTCTTTTAAATTTGGGAGTTTGTCATTAACTTTTCCCATGGCTAAGTGGTGCTTTCCAGTTTATTGATTAAGTGATAGCCTTTATGGGGGAAAAAAAAAACTGTACATGAAATAGTGAAATACTTTGGAGTATGCCTCATTCGACTCCAGATAGAACTTGTAGAATATTAGAAAACAGTATTACTAATACTGGGATATGTTGATGTGAATGTTATGGTCACAGGCAGAATATTCATGATACTAACAGAAGTTATCTACTTTTTGTATATTCAAAGCAGCAGGTGGTAAAGATAAATCCTTAAATCTTCATGTACTTCTTGTTACTGTTTTGAGCAAGGAAAGAAGGGATATGTGCTGTCAGCACAACACGTAGGAGCTCATTAAGGCCATGGAGGATGGTAGCTAAGCAAGCTCAGGAAAGTGAAAGAGTTAGTTCAGTGGCAAGGTATCACAGATCTTCAGGTCTTGATGAATAGTTAATTTCCTCTTGGATTTGAAACAGACAATATTATAATTGACACATGCTGTAGTTCTCAATAAGACTAATATTCTGTGAATCACAGACTACTGTACAAAACAAAGAAGTGTATAGGTGAAGTTCTAATTAAGTTCTGAAAATCAGGTAGTTGTGAAACAGTTTTGAGCCAAAGATCATACTCCAAGGAAAGCCAAGTGTCTTTGATAATTTAGAACCTAGTGACCAATCTGGTACTTACTGAACCCAGTGGAATCTGAGAAAATAGTCTCTTTTTCTTCTTCCAGAAGTAGAAAAAAAGTACTACATAAAATTGATTCGATAACTTAAAGCAGTGAATCCTTAGAGGCATTAAATTATTCAGTGCATTAAAGGTGTGTGGACTTTTTCTAGGTACACGTAGATCTTTCTCTTTTAGGAATTTCCCACCAGAAGTAATGCCCCCTGACCCCATTGTAAATGTCCTGCTACGCTCTTACGAGTTTGTGTAAAATGTGCAGATCAACACACGAGTTCTCTGCTACAGCAGAAATATATTATGTTTGTGTCTACCCTGTTATATCCACAGCATGTTAAGACAGAGTAGGAACATTTAAAGACTTGACAGCTCTTACTTGTGTAACGACATTGAACTTATTTTTTCTTCCCATTGGATTTTTTACCTTCTTCAACAATTCAGGCATTTTAGGTTCAGTTTTTATTTCATGTGTTAGGTACCTCTGAAAGTTGCACAGCTGGGTAGAAGGTGAGCAATTTAGAGGGCTTAATGATACAGAATTCACTCTCTAAGAATTAGTGACTTAATCTTAAGAGTTCTGTGAAAGAGTTCTGAAAGTTAAGTTTAGTGATAATGGCTTCCTGCCCCAAGCCTCTGTGGAATAGGACCTGAATTTAGTGATTATTAAACATTTTCTAGTATTTTCACCTGTGGGCTCAGTCTTCAAGTTACCACAGTTTGCTATTAAAGTGTATTAAAGAGCCTCACTTTATTATAGGCTCACAGAAGCTGATAGTGGTAGAGATGTTATATCACCTAATTTAATTTATTAAGG